GCCTAGCTCGCTTTCGCTCAGAATTGCTTGCATTTTTTATTAAAATGAAGAAGAATTGGACTACCTTGTCTGTATGTTTTAAAGCCAGCGACGCTCTAATAAGTTGGCATTGGCTTCAACGCAAGCCTTAGCATCACTGGCTGACAGAATCTTACCTCGTTTACGTAGTTGCGCAGAGCTAAATTCTTTTCAACACGACAGCGGTAGGCATCTCTGAGTTTCTCGTCAACTCGGCTCTCTAGGCCAGCGACACCGTATTTGCTGCTTGCACGATTGCTTCAGTTGTTATTGTTTTGCTGTTTCGTGACGTCCGTAAACACTTCTCAAGTTGTTCACAAACAAATCGTTCTTGAGTCATATACTGCTTCTTGATCACCTCTTCAAAATGAGCTTGAATGACGTTGGTGCATTCGACTATTTGACGCTTTGTAGCTGCTTCAATTTGGCTGCGCGTCTGTGTAATATGCTCGGACATCTTTGCCTCAAGGTCGATGCCACATTCCATCCGAGCTGCTTTTTGTGCAATTTCTTCTACATCTCTCGATGATGCGCGTATTGAGTCACAAATGGACGCTTGGTGGCGAACATCAGCATGGCCTCAGCACCATTGCTCTGGGGTTTTAATGGCTCCACAAAATTTATCAGAACTCGAGCTCTGATTCGGCTCGTTCTGACTGTGGCGTCGATGGACATACGAATTACAAAAAAAAAAAACCTTTCTTACTTGACCCACTTAGAATGCATAAATTGCTTTCAAACTCAAGCTAATTCCCGTCTCCAGGTTTATATTTGCGTACTATGATAGGAGACACTGAATGGCAAATACATGAGCGTGACACGTTTCAAGAAAAATACTATTGATATCACTGATAGCACGATTGAGTCGCTTTTGGCTCCTACACGAACACAGAGCAAATGCTGCGAAGCAGGTCAGTAGGTGCGTTAGTTCGGGGGCATGCGTTTCCATTCTAAAAATCCAAAGATCAGTAATATGTTTCCGAATCGAGCCACTACAATTTAGTACGCATAGGATTGATAACAGTAACAGTTGGACTGTTGCAGTATTTTCTAGCGGATGCTTCATAAGCAGCCAAGAGCATATGTGAAAAACAACGGGGTCAGATTCTATCCCAACCTAGTTGAGAACACTTAGCTTGATTTAACACATCAATTCGTGTTTAGTACCTCCATAGGCGATATTTTGCGGTTGACTTTGTGCCTTCGTGTTGAATCCTCGTAGATTTCTGTACTTTGTATTTTAACTAGCTCAAAGCAGTCGTGGGTCATGATTTATGGCATGGAATATGCCTTTCAAAGTGTACGACAGCCGCTATATATAAACAACGAATGCCATAGAAATTTGATTCTCATTTGCCCAATCGGACGAGGCTGGGCAAGTCAAACTCTAAAGAGAGCTGAAAGCCGGTGAGCTCGAGATCACGTCGAAAACTACGTGTTCATCTGCAACCCTGCAACCTTTCGTGCAAACTACTACCTCGTTGCAATTGGCTATTTAGTCTGTACAGCGAATTCTCGCCACTACGCTAAGTTAGCAAGAACGAAGCTGAGGGAGCTGTCTCTCATCGATATGGATATTGGTAAACAAGTATGTCTTACATTAATATGGTAGATCTTACTCTTTCACGCGTGTAAACTTACAACCCTTCGTCTAAACAGTATTCCCATACAAAAATACTGGGAACTTAGGAACTGAAAAACGAAAGGCGTAGCTTAGGGCATGTTCCTTCCCACGGGGTAGAGGCTCTTTTCGATCTTGTCCTTGACATTATCGAAGCTCTTCGATACTTCCCAGTTCTTGTGTTCGATGTATGGGTACGTTATCTTTAAGCTTTTGCGGACCTGAGATGAATCCTTGCCCGTAATAACCCAGTAGGGGATCTTGAGCTTCAAGAGGGCCAATCGAACAGTCTCTTTGAAGTCTCTTTCTTCGTTGGCGGCTCCATTCTTCTCGGCGCTTTCCTTTCTTAGGAATCTCTTCGAGTTCTCATTGGCCGTCTCTCCGGTGGTCAAAGGTCCAACTTCGAGTGTCTTGGAACTCGTCGCCGCAACAGTTGTAACGCCATAGGTAGTGAGTGCATGTAGTCCGATGATAGTCACGATGACAGCGCGCCACACCAGCATGATAGTAGTGGCAACGAACGTTGAGACTTTAGTACCTTTGCGCGAATCGCTCAATGCGCCCGGAGGTATTTAATTGCGAGCTGTCTTCTGTCCGCGTGCCGCACATCATCAGCCGCTTCAAGTATGTAAAAACGTAGACTCTTCACTGTACAGTGCTGTACCGGCATACA